CTCATGTGAAACCTATACTTAGATCCAACAGTAGTGGTCAGAACAGAAGGAAACACTGCATGGTTCAGGATCAGGAAAGGTGTGTGTGTTAGGGATGCATCTTATCTCCACACCTTTCAATCTATATGTGCAACAGATCATTTGGGAGGCTGGACTTTAAGGGGAGGAATGTGGCATGAGGATTGGAGGAAGACTTATCAACAACCTGCGTTATGTAGATGATACAATTTTGTTTGCTGAAACTGATGAGGACTTGACGCATTTGCTGCAGAAGGCCAAGGACTGCAGTTTTCAAATAAATTGAGGCTCAACGTTAAGAAAACAAAGATTCTCGCCACCGGGCCAATTGATAGAGAAGATTGTTAACAATTATCGTGTGCTTGGCTCCACAATCAACACTCTTGGCACCAGCAGCCAGGAGATCAAAAGATGAATTTCATTAGGAAAGTCTGCTGTCAAGGACCTCATCAGAGAGCTGGACGATAATCAACGATGATAGAAGAAAAATCAATGCCTTTGAGTCGTGGTCCTGGAGAAGAGTATTGAACATGCTGTGGACTGCCAAGAGAACAAACAGGTCTGTTCTGGAGAGCATGAAGCCAAGCTGTTCCTTGGAGGCAAGGATTTTGAAGCTCCCTCTCACATACTTTGGGCATGTGGCTAGGAGGGCCTAGTCCTTTGAAAAAGGCCATCATGCTTGGAGGGACAGTGGAGGAAAGAAAGACCCTGGATAAGACAGATTGACTCAATAACTGGGGTAATGGGATTAGGTGTGTTGGAGATGATGAGACTGGCTCAGGATAGGGCAGGATTCAGAACTAGTGTACATAGTGTTGTTATGAGTCACAAGTGACTCAATAGCATATCACAGCTGCAGCAACAACAACAAAAGCCAACTCAGTCTAATTGTTTTGTGTTGTTACCATTTTTTTGAGAGCTTGTGAATGGTCCAACTATTGAGCTCAGTCCTTTGAACACCATGTTATATGTTGTGAAGCTGTTGGTAGGTTCTGTTGAGTGAGTTCTGGTTCATAGTGAGCTCATGCACAAAAGAATGAGACATTGCCCTGTCCTGTGACATCCTCGTCATTGCTGCTGAGTTTGACTCCATTGATGCAGCCAGTGTGTCAATTTTTCTCACTGGAAGCCTTCATTTTTATCACAGACCACGTCTCTACTTTCTTTTTTTTATTATTATTAAATTTTGTTAGTTTTAATGAACATTTACAGAGATTTTGGGTTTTCATTCATTCATTGTTGCACTGTTTTCTCCACCCTCCTCCCCAGTTCGTTCTTCTTCCCCCACCTCAATGTCTGTTTTAATTGTCCAATTGCCACAGTGCTTGTCAAAGCCAGTTCTGATTAATCTCCTTTGTCAGTGTATCCCTTGCCATTCCCTATCACTCCTCCCTGAGAGAGACTTCACCCTGATTCATAAGGAAAAGGGGATGGCGTTTTCTCTTAGCTACTTCCTGCTGAAAAGGGATGCTGTGGGTTTCAGGGTGAAGGTCTTCTCTCACTACTCTAAAGGGCCCCCTTGGCAGTAGGAAACACATAGACTATTATGGAGATTGATTTTGGAATTTAGATGCACTGTTATCAATTGTGCTTAGCCGTACATGTTCATATCCTTGAAGATGTATCATGTAAGTGTTGCAACCTAGAAGATACAAATTTAACTAACAAGTTAAAAGTGCATGAGTCAAAAATTGAAAAGCAATAATATTCTGAGTAGAGGTTCTAAATAGTGGCACAAATCAAGTTACAGAGGTAAGGTGGTTCCATTGCCATCTTTACTCTAACGTAATTCTTTTTTTTTTTTAATTTAAATTTGCCATTCAGTGAAGATTTACAGAGGCTTTGGATTTCCATTCATTCATTGTTGTAGATTTGTCCCCTCCCAAGGCTCGCCCCCACCAGACATTACCCTCTTGGAAAAGTAAAAGAAAAGATTCTTTCATTATTTTACAAACCCTCCCCCAGGTCCACTCCACCATGTAGCCATCGCTCTAGACTCCTGTCATGACTGAAATACCTAATCACATATCTCTTTTAAACAGTTTTCTCACTTCTCTGTTTCAGTGTAGTATACATTATTGAACCCATCTTACTCAGTCTCTCCCCAACCCCAAGGACAGTCCCATTCTGCAACAGTGGCACCATGCAATATTTGTCCTTTTGTGACTGGGACATTTCACTCAGCATAATGTTCTCCAGAGTCAACCATTTTGAGTAATATTGCATGAGTTCCCTGTTTTTTAATGCAGCATAGTATTCCATTGTGAGAATATACCACAGCTTCTCTAGCCATTCGTTTGTTGATGGGACGTCTCTACTTTCTGAAGCATGCTCCCCTTCTCTAGAGACTGACCATTCCCAATTACATGCCCAAAACATGGGAGGCAAAATATCTTCATCCTTGCATCTAAGAAGTATTCTGGGTGCACCTCTTCCAGGCAAGACATATTCATTCTTTTGGCAGTCTGTGGCATGCTTAATAGTCTCTGGAAATAACCCAGTTCAAAAGTATTTCTTTTTCTTTGGGCTTTCTTATTCATTATCCTACTATCCCATACATATGAGGCAATTGAAATTACTATGGCTTAGGTCAGGGGCACCATAGTCTGCAAGTGATATCCTCGCTCTTCAGCACTTTGCCACAGCAGATTTGCCCAATGCAATACTTAGTTTGACTTCTTGATTGCTGCTCTCTTGGTCATCGATTGTGAAACTCAGTAAAATTAAATTCTTGATAGCTTTAATATTTTCTTTTGACTTATGTTTTTTACTGGTCTTGTGAGGATTTTGTTTGTTTGTTTCTTTATATGGAGATGTAAGCCATATGTAAGCCTTAAGGTTGTAGACTTCAAGCTTCATCAACAAATGCTACAAATCCTCTTCATTTTTTACAAGTTGTTTAATTTGCACATTGCGGGTTGTTAATGAGTCTTCTTCCAATGCTGATGCCATGCTGTTCTCTGTATAGTCTAGCTGTTGGCTTATTAACTCAATATACAGAGTGAATAATTATAGTGAGAGGACATAACCCTGACACACACCTTTCATGGTTTTTAACCAATCAATATCCCTTTGTTTTATTCAAATAAGTGATATTTGGTCTATGGATAGGTTCTAAGCACAATTAAGTATTCTGGAATTCTAATTGTTTCAATGTAGCCCATAATTTATTATAATCCATGTTGTAAAATTTCTTTGCATAGTTAATAAAACATGTAAACATTATTTTCTGATATTCTCAGCTTTCAGTCAAGATCCATTTGAAATAAAAAAGGATATCTCTCATTCGGTGCTCTCTTCTGAATCCAGCTGGAATTTCAAACACTTCCTTATTACTTTAATTCTTTTTTTCTTTTCTGCAAGAATTTACTTGGTTGTGATATTAATTATATTCTTCTAACACTTCCACATTCTTTCACATTTTTTTTACAATGTTCCCAAATATGGATCTCTTCCAGTTAGTAGACCAGAATTTCCATCTTCATTTTTGCAAAGGTGGGTATGCAACTCATCATCACTTGGCAAATCTGCAGTTAGAGGCATCTCCCAGTTATTGAAGAGTTATGACATCAGTTTGAGGACTAAGGTGCATCTGATTCAGGCCATGGTCTTTCTATTCACTTGCTATGCATCTGAGAGCTGGACCGTGAATAAGGATGACAGAAGAAGAATTGATGCCTTTTAGCTGTGGACTGCTAAGAGAACAAACAGGTTCTTCCTAGAAAGGGTGAAACCAGGCTGCTCCTTGGAGACAAGGATTCTGAAGCTTCGTATGACCTACTTTGGACATGTTGCAAGGCAGGATCAGTGCTCAGAGAGGGACATCAAGCTTGGGAGGGTAAAGGACAGTGTAGGAGAGGAAGACCCTCGATGAGATGGGGTAATGGGGGTAGGTGTGTCGGAGACAGTAAGATTAGCACAGAATAGAGCAGGGTTTAGGGCTGTTGTCTATAGGGTTGTTATGAGCCTCAGGCGACTCGATGGCACATAACAACAACAACAAGCATCTATCTACCTTTTGAAGTTAACACCTTTTAACATAAAAATCAAGCTATCCTTACATCAACACACCAAGATCTATTTCATCTTTGGTGGCCTAGTGGTAAGGAATTACACTGTGACACAAAGGTTTATGGTTCAAATCCACCATGTGCTCTATGGGAGAAAGATAGGTGATCTCCTCTCATGAGATTTTCTGCCTCTGTAAACCCACTGGAGGGTCGGCTGTGAGTCTGTTCTGACTCCTTGGTATTTAAAAACAACATCATAATCTTTAGTCAAGTCAGCATGTCAATTACTTATATGCTGCTTTTATTTATTATCTGGTTTGCTAACTCTCAGGTCTGTATTACACAAAGAAGCAATGAAAACATAAGATTGTTTAGGAGAAAAAAGAATTTTCATAAAAAGTTAAACCCCAGAAATTTTTTTTAAAGATAGGTGAGGAAATTGCATTGGTATAGTGGGCAGCGCAGGGAAAGGGTTTTGAGAACATCTTGCAATTATTTTCAGGCATAAATTGTGCTGGGGAAAGAACCATGCCTCAGACTGGTAATTGGTAGCAATAATAGGAAATGATTGTTATGAAGATGTGGTATTTGGAATCAGGATAGAACAAAAAACACAAAGGAAATAGCAGGGATCATATGAATCATATTGATAACCAGATTTAGGGCAAGGCTGAGTCAGAGCTAAAAGCGAATAATGCCAGGATAGCCATTTTCCATAAACTGTCATCGGGAGACCCGACCATCATTCAAATTGTTAGATTTGCATTCCCAATGGTTCATTAGAAAAGCACTATACTTAAAAAGAAGTCTTCCTGATGGTTCTTCTTGGTGGAAGAGTCTGGCCTAAAATTCTACCTATGATCCAGGAATTAACAGAGGTCATACTTCTCAACGTTGCATGTTCCCATCTGCACGATCTGAAGGAGGTGTGCCGACTATCAAAAAGGAAGAGCAAGGATTGTGGTAGGAGACATGGAGAGCTGGCTGTCAGCTCTTCCTCATGTCATTATCATGTCAGCAGAATTTATCACAGGGATTATAGTAAATGGATTTCTTGTCATCGTGAACTGCAGTGAATTCATCAAAGGCAGAAAGCTAACATCGATACAACTTCTGTTAATATGTATAGGCATGTCTAGATTTGGTCTGCTGATCATATTAATGTTGCAGAGCCTTTTCTCTGTGTTCTTTCCATTCTTTTATCGAACCAAAATTTATGGTGCATCAATGATCTTCTTCTGGATGTTTTTCAATTCGGTCAGTGTCTGGTTTACCACCTGCCTTTCTGTGTTTTACTGCCTCAAGATTTCAGGTTTCACTCAGTCCTATTTTCTTTGGCTAAAATTCAGAACCACAAAGTTAATGCCGTGGCTGCTTCTGGGGAGCCTTGTGTCCTCTGTGAGCATGGCAGCCCTGTGTCATGAAGTTGGGTACCCCAAAAATGTAAATGATGATGTCCTTAGAAATGCCACACGGCGGAAGACTGAAGTCATGGTAAAGCAAGTCAATGACATGCTTCTTGTCAACTTGGCGTTACTAGTCCCACTCGCCATATTTGTGATGTGTACTGTTACACTCTTCATCTCTCTGTACAAACACACTCATCGCATGAAAATGAGAGCTCAAGAACTCAGGAATGCCAGCACAGAAGCCCATATAAACGCATTAAGAACAGTGGTAACATTCTTCTGCTTCTTTATTTCTTATTTTGCTGCCTTCATGACAAACATGACATTTGGCATTCCTTACCAGAGTCAGCAGTTCTTTGTGCTAAAGGACATAATGGCAGCCTATCCGTCTGGCCATTCAGTTATAATTGTTTTAAGTAACTCTAAACTGCAACAGCCATTCAGGAGAATACTATGCTTCCAAAGGAATTGATGGAGAGCAAGATGGAGAGAAAATACATCATATTCCCTGGGTGTGGACAGTGTGGCCTTGTTTGTAAGAGTTTTTGCCCACCACCTGGGAATGTGAGGCACTATATTTTGATGTTGGATAGATCTTTGCGTAGTTAAAAATTTTGTGTATTCAAATTTTTTTGCTTTCATACTTAAAAATTTTTGTATAGAAACATATTTAAATAACTAATACGGCATTGAGGTTCCAGTGATGTTAGAAATCAGGAAAAATTACTGTGCTCATTTGACTGACCAATACTTAACTAATCAGCATAAATCTGTTTTCTTAGATCACTGAGAATCTTCTGGCTTGGATAAAGATTAGCCTAAGACTTGAAACAATATTATAGTAATTAGTTTACTTTGGTGCACAACCATTTTTTCAAGAGATCCATCAGTAAAATGTAAATTATATGTTGAAAATAGGTTACAGTAATGTGCCCAGATATACTGAAGGTCTTTTTTTTTCTTCTTCTCTTGATTTCAGTGTCTGATTTGGGCTGACAAAAGGAGCAAAGTGATCTGGAAGGAGTTTGCATGCACACACACACATACAACCCAGTGTCTTAATTTTTACAGAATAATAAAATACTTTCAGCCTCCCTGAAATATTAAACTAACATCAAAAGAAAATTTTTATAATATTTATATGACTTGTTTCCTTGTAATAAAAAATAAAATTTTTTATTCTGGATTAAAAAAATTTGTTTTGAGAGAGATTACTGCTTGTGAAGTCCCAGAAATATATAATGTTCAAGTGGTGACTTAACTTCTCTTCAAGTGAGAACTTAGTCTGACATCTTTTAGAAGATCTGAACAAATTTGCTCTTTAAGGAGATCCAGCAGTTTTGTTTGGGAGAGAAAAAATATTTCTTGCTATATCTTACACTGCTTAGAATATCTATTTGAATCTTTTGTGTTGTCATTTTTAGGGACTGTCAAGTCAGACCCACTCATAGACGACACTTTGGTGTGTTTTCCAATACTGTGAATTGTTCAGGAGATTGCCCATCTTTTCCCCATGGAACAACTGGTGGATTGTAATGGTTTGCTTCTGAGTTGGCAGCACAATTTCTTATAACATCCTCTTTAGCTACTGGAGATTTAAAAAAGTGATTATTTTGATTTTTAATAAACTGTAATAAAACGGAGTTAAAATTTACTTCTTCTTGTTAAGTGTCATTGAGTTGTAGGCAACTCATAGTGACCTTTATGTTCAAAGACCTGAACACTTGTATAACTTTCATCATTTCTCCAAGTATTAAAAAAATACATCTAGAAGTGTGTGTGCATATTTATTTTATTTTTTAAAATTTATATTAATTTTAATGAAAATTTACAGAGACTTTGGGTTTCCATTCATTCATTGTTGCACTTTTCTCCCCTCCCAACCCTCCATCTAGTACACTACCCACTTGGAAAAGTAAAAGAAAAATTCTTTCATTGTTTTACAAACCCTCTCCCAGGTCAACCCCACTATGCAGCCTTCTCTCTGGACTCCTGTCATGACAAAAATACCTAATCACATATCCCTTTTAAACAGTTTTCTCCCTCATCTGTTTCAGTGCAGTGTACATTATTGAACCCATCTTTCTCAGTCTCCCCCCAACACCGATGTCAGTCCTGTTTTACAAGAGTGGCACCATGCAGTATTTGTCCTTTTGTGAATGAGATATTTCACTCAGCATAATGTCCTCTAGGGTTACCCATTTTGAATAATATTGCATGAGTTCCTTGTTTTTCAAGGCAACATAGTATTCCATTGTGTGAATATACCAGAGTTTCTCTCTATCCATTCGTTTGTGGATGGGTGTATTTATTGTATTTTACAAAGTGTTTTCACATCTAATTATTTATTTTGTTCTCACTAGAACCTTATAAGTGATGGTGGAACACTGTCAGTTTCGCAGCTGAAAGGTAATGAAAGGTCTGGGTACACATCTAAGTCCATTTAACTACAGTTAGTAATGTGCTTGGAACTCAAACCAAGTCTTTTGCTTCTAAAACCAGGTTGAAACATGGAGTAATAAGAAATTTAAGAAAGAAGCAGTAATCGTTTTCTTAACACTGATCCATGCTCAATGTCAGCTGTGCCTGCTCTTGCAAATTAATAAGTAAATAGGAAATCAAGTAGAATGTTTTCTGAACTGTCACTTGCACTTGTCATGGGCCTAAGTTTTCATCAGTGTGACCTGAACATTGGTGTAAAAATGCTGCATTTGGTGATAGGGGAACAAGGGAGGATGGTCTCCATCAATAACATGAACAGAACAAATTCCCATGAGGCTGACATGCCCCCACACTTTCCACACTTATTTCTACCAATTCTAACACCATTATTTCTTCTAGAGTTTTCATCACTCCACTGCTGAGTCTGCTAACCCATTGCAATGACCACACAGAACTCAACTGAAGAATGTTCAAGATGAGTTTAGAAGGGAAGTTAACAGGTACCATTGAGGTTAGACTCAGGATGGAATTCTTTACTGAGGGCAGATTCTCAAGCATGTACACAGACCTTTTGACCTTCACCATTTAGGACAGTATTACAAAGTCCTTTCAATCACTGTGTGTCCCCCCTACCCAACTTCCTAAAACAGTCACTAATGTGCTAAAAATTCCATTCTAGAATGTGGTATGATTTCATGATGCAATAAACATACTGTTATAAAATGGCCCTGATAGTTCATGTTGTCCTACCTAGACACTAAGTTCATTAGAAATGGGGCTCCTGCCTCTTCTCAGTAAGAAGGATTGTGTCCATAAAACAATGAAAGAATTTTTCTTTTACTTTTCAAAGAGAAGAGTGTACTGTCGGGGATGGGGTGAGTGGGGTGGTGGGGTGAGTGGGGTGGTGGGGTGGGTGGAAGGGTGAGCAGGGAGAAAAGTGCAACAATGAATAATGGAAATCCAAAGTCTCTGTGAATTTTCAATAAAATTAATAATAATAAAAAATAGTCAATAAACACAGTCAATATATATATATATATTTTTTAAAAAGATAGCTTCCAAATATTTCCCCCCTTGAAAAAAGAGGATACAACATTCCACAATTCCCCAAAGCCCGCAGGTGTCAAGCAACTAACTTTCCAGACATCTCTTGTGAACAGCTGGCTTCTGACTTCACAGAGTAAGACTGATGCCCAGATAACCTATACGTTTGCTTGCTCAGATCTTTCCAACCTCCCCACTGGGCCAACAGGCAAAATCAGGATTGTTGTTGTTGTGTTTGTTATGTGCCATTGAGTCACTTGTGACTCATAGAGACCCTATGTACAACAGCCCTGAAACCTGCTCTATCCTGTGCCAAATTTACTGATTCTGACACATCTACACTCATTACCCTAGTCACTGTATCAATCCATTTTATTGCCCATCTTTTTCTATTTCTCTGTCTTTCCACTCTTCCAACCAAGATGTTTCTCTCCAAGAACTGGTCCCTCCTTGCAAAATGCCCAAAGTAGGTCAGATGAAGCCTCAGAATTCTTACCTCCAAGGAGCAGCCTCTCCATGATGAACCTGTTTTTCTCCTAGAAGCCCATGGTATAATCAATACTCTTCTCCATCACCACAGCTCAAAGGCGTCAATCCTCTATCATCCGTAGCCAGTGTCCAGCTCTCTGTCGGATAGCAAACAATTGCAAAGAGTATGGCCTGGGTCAGGTGCACCTTAGTCTCCAGACTGACATTGTTGCTCTTCAGTATTTTTGAGAGGTCCCTGACAGCCGACTTTCACATTGTAATTCGTCTTTTAATTTTCTAACCACTGGTGTCAAGAGTGTTGATTGCGGAGCCAAGCAAAGCTGTTAACAATCTCAATCTCTTCACCATCTATCATAATGCTGCCAATCGGCCCAGGGATGAGAATCTTTGTTTTCTTGATGTTAAACGTCAATCAATATTGAAGGTGCAGTCCTGGACTTTCTGTAGCAAGTACTTAGATCCTCCTCAGTTCTATCAAGCAGAGTTTTGTCATCTGGCATAAAGCAGGTTGTTGATGAGTCTTTCTCCAATTATGATGCCACTTTTCTCTTCACACAGCCCACCCTCCCAGACGATCTGTTCTGTATACAGATTGAAAAGTTATGGAGGCAGGATACATCCCTGTAGTACACCCTTCCCAATTTTGAACCATGCAGTAACTCCCTGCTCTTCTCTGATTACCATTTCCTGGTCAATGTATAGCTTTCACATAAGCACCATCAAATGTTCTGGGATCCCCATTCTTCTCACAGTCAGCCATGGTTTGTT